TTTTTTTTAAATTTATTAAATGTTTTTGTTTACTTACTAATAAGAATAGGTTATGTAACTTGAAAATCATGAATGAAAATGTAAAACATATGTAAAAGTAATGTGCAAAGATAACGATAAGCAATGTAACGGGAGCCCTCCAAACTCGAAAGGGACGGAGTATGAAATAAATAAAAATAAATAAATAAAAACAATAAATACTCGTTGCCACGAGAATGTTGCTGACTCTGGCGCAGCTGGCCGTGCTTCAGAGAAAACGTGCCGGCCTACAGCTGACCAAGGAGTGGCGAGCACTTAACGAGAACTCGAGCTCTTGTCTCAGTTAAAATCGCCAAAAGAAAGGGGCCACGCACACGACCATACTAGTGCGTACACGCACAATGGACTCAAACTATACCTGAGAACAGGTAGACTCAATGCGTGTGTCTGCGTTAGCCTCTTCCAGGCGCTACATATTAGGTACAAGCTCGCCTCGTTGCGAGAGTCACCTGTTTCGGTCTCTACTACAACTACTTTAACGTGAACAGCTCTCTTAAGTAAAACTCTGTTTACTCGTTTAGTAACACCATTTTGTTGAGGATTGTGTGGGATGTTAGTTTGCTGTTCAACTCCATTTTTGTTCAAAAAATCTGTGAACTCATATGTAAAATACTATTTACCGTTGTCTAATCATAGAATCATCAGTTAAAGATCAATTTGCGTCTTTGCTTTGGTGATACACAGTTAAAACAAAGCAAAACTATCAGATTTATGCTTTACAAAATAGACAAATGTCATTTGAGAGAAATCATCGGTGAAGGTGATGAAATACTTAAAACCTAATCTTGATGTAGTTGACCTTTGACAAACATCACTATGTACTGATTAAAACTTAAGAGTAGATCTTAATAAACTTAGCTTGTGAGTAGCTTCAATAATTTTATTTCTGACGCGAGCTTTACATGGTCCTCAATTATTACTAGCCGTCGTACTGATTCCTGAAGCTGCATCTATACTTAAAATTCAAACAGAATCTAGATTGAGATAGGACAGCCGTTCATATTTTTTTCGTAGTTCAACGTATTGTTCAACATTTTTCGAAGTGGCCTCCCAAAAAAAGACACAGTTGTATTTCCATTCTACCCGTGTGGATTTCGAAGCGTACAATAATTTTTTTACTGATGAGGCAATTCTTTATAAAAACTCACTTTCGAATCAATACTAAAAATAAATTTCAAGTTACATAAATTTAAAATTAATACTTTTTTGAAAGAAGTTCTCTAAAACCTCCAAATTTAAAAGTTAGATGACGATTTTGCACAGATCTAGTACAGCTATCTTAATGCACATTTTAATAACCTAAGATTGAAGAAAAAAATTGGATCTCCACTATTTGTCTGTTCAAAGATATTGTATTTATGAGAAAGTCTGCTTGCCACACTTTAGTACTGAGTGCAATACTACGTCTTAAGCGAAGTTGGCAATGAAAACAACCCAATAAATGTATTTGACAATTTTAAAAAATAATCTACTCAATTATTGTATGAATATTAAAATACTCACATTTAGTACGCATTTATTACAGTCCGTTGTGTTCAGTTATAAATACATGATGATCTTTGGTTCTGTGTTTTGGTCACACGAATTCAAAAAGGGTTAGTATGAGCACTTGAGAAAGTAAAAGAAATATATTAATAAAATTCATTTATATAACCCAATACTTACTTTTACAATTTAAATAATTATGACTTACCTTACGCTACAAAAAATTGCTAATAAATTGAAAAAATTGTATATACTTAATTAATTCACGTTTTAGCTAATCTCATCAAAACCGTACTTTGTAGTTATACATATCTCTGAACTTTGTTACGAGAATTTCTAATAGTAAGACAAGTAGTAAAAAGATTTTGTGTAAAAAATTTTGAAACAAAATTTTACCAAGTAATAAAAAAAGTACTCACTAGACTCAGCATTTTAACTTGAATCTTCTTATTCAGAAATTGGAATTCAGTTGTACGCTTACGAAAATAAGCAAGTTTTACTTGTGTCCGCAGATATTATAAATATAGACTGTTCCAATATACTGCACTGAAGCTTAGCTAGAAAGAGATACAGTTTCAAGGAAGGAAGTATATCTCTCTCGCAAAGTGGAACTAAAGCAGAGAACGTGATACAGCAGACGCGGTAAGCAGGATATTATCCAAACGTGTCTATGTATGTGTGCTGCTCCCCCCACAGACCCACAAGCTTCACAGTGCGAGGGAGATAGACTTATCTCCTTGATGCTATTTCTTTCTACTTGAGCTTTATATAGTGCATTGGAATAAGTAGTCTAAATTTCCACTGTATTTTCTCAATGTTGGGACTTGGGTTTGAAATATATAAAAACTGCTACAGCAGTGTTTATAGCTGTCAATAATTATGCTGCTGCCTGATCACACAAGTAGCAGATGTGCAAGAAAACTATTTAATTTATGTACATTTTAAAGACTACTTATGAAAGTTTTACAGTTCATAACTATAGTAGTAAAATTATATCTCAAAAATGAAGTAATAAAATACATACAAACAGACACACATATGTAACAAAAACTATCACAATACCATAAAGGTTCTTACTACGTGAAAATACCGTTAGTTTTGATGATTAAGACCGATCAAATTACTAAGGATCATAAATTTAAACAGTGTAAATGACTTTTTATTTAGTTTTTAAAAAATTTAACACAGTTAACAATTGTAATCATTACATTATTGAAACAGTCTGACCTCACTATCAAATATTTTTAAGGGCTATGTAAACATTTGTGAAAAATATCATATATAATCAAAAGTTAATTACGAGTGTGAAATTGTAATTATAATCTTTCGATTGGTCCATTCAGCATAAGCCTACTACTTCCACTTAAGTAAATTGACAAATTTACATTTTTTAGTGGATAAGTCTTAGGATCTTACTATTGTCAGACAAAATCCCTGATTTTTAATAGATTCACCAACTTGTAAAGTTACATAAAACTGTGTTTTAATATTAAATACACAAAAATCTTATTTTTCAAACATTACAAACAACTTTAGCCACATTAAATATAGTATTAAACGTGAGATATGAGCAGCCGCAACATGCAAAAAATTTTTGCATTGATACAAATTATTTTGAAAAGATATAATTATGAGCGTTTCGCTTGTAACTATTGCAGTAAACTCAATCGGAATAACTCTAACATTAAAATACATTAAAAATTGTTTTACAGTAAAGTTTTTTTCAACTTTAATAAGAGTAAAACTACATACATTAGTTACACAGTGTAGTAATGATAGCATACTAAATACTAATACCAAAATAGGTTTTGCTGTAAACTTTTTCGCATTTTTTTAGTAACATTAGAAAAAACAGGAAAATTATCTATTCAGTCTTTACTAGTACAATTAGAATAAAAAATAAGTAAAAAAATTATGTTTTTACAAAAATTTGTGCTTATAAAAACATTTTCTGTGAAAAATTATTTTTAATTATTTGAATAAAATCTTCAATACAAAAAAAAGTTTTATCGTATAATTCAAAAACTTTTTTCGTAGACGTATGGAGACAACACAGAAAGTCTGGTAAAAATTTATAACTTTTCAAGACTCTTAGTGATCAAAAGAACTGCCAAAAATATTTAAAAAAACTAACAATAGAGCTTAGAGAGAATAATTACTGTATAAAAAACGTTTTCGATACGATTCACAAATAACATGAACTTGAATCTTAAGTGGAGCATATAAAATACTAACACTCGTTACTAGAATATAAAAATAAAATTTTCAAAAAAATTTATGTTTGAAGAAATATTAACAAAAACTTACTAACGGAATCCATTCTTTATCCCAAAAAGCTCTAAAAATTTCTTTTTGGAATAATTTTAAAGTATCAGTAAAAAGTTCTTCTGTCTGAGCAGCTAATTTAGCAACGATAACATCTTTCATGTTATCATGAACAGCTTTGTAGGTGAATATTTCTTGAGCTTGGGCTAACATAAGTTGAGAAAGAGCTTCTAAAGTTTCTGGACTCATGTCTGGTGTAGGTTCTTGTTGTATAAATAACATTATGTTTGATTTTAAATAGTTGAATATCCCTGCTGATTGCTGAAAATTATTTTTATCATATAAATAAGTGTGAAATGAAGTAAGTAAGAATCAGGTATTATTTACCTTGATGCTTCTGAAAAATTACCTGAAACAATTTTGCTGCTGACTTTAATCCTTCGTCACTTTCAAGAGACTGTGTAGCTGCTACTGAACTTTGTAGGGCTCCAATATTAAATAAAACACAAGCCTTTTCATATGCTAATGAACTTATTGCTGAAAAAAAAACGATATGTTTTATTATTACGATATTACTTCATATAGTGAGCTTTTATGTTTTTTGTCAGTGACAGACTACATTTATTATAGAGATTCATGTTGAGCATTCGTAAGAACTCAGAAAAATTAAATTAAAAACAAGCGGCTAAATTTGTACAAAACGTTAGGTCTCACATTAAAAACACGACCAATCCAGGGTTTGCCAGAAAAGACAGTGCAATTTTAACCATAGGATTGTATGAGATTTTAGTTAGAGATAATTCATGTAGTTTAATATCAAATCTAAGTAAACTTTATATTTCTTACTACGTGTCAAATAATAATACAACACTAAATATCACAAATGAATTCGTCTGCCACATCTAAACGTTCTTTATAAAAAAGCTTTATACTAAAAAACGATTTTTTTTGTATTTAAAAACGATTTCTATGTTCAAATTGTTAAGACAACAATATGAACAAAAATAATCAATTAAAAAAAAGGTATTTTTAAAACGCTTAAAACTTTCGTATCTAAAATTTTACCTACAAATGTAATGTAGAAGAGTAATATGCCATTAAATAAGTTTTTAGCTGTTTTGAAACGATTTTTGCCGTTTACAGCATTAAATTGACACTGCAGGAAAAAAATTACAACACAAAAAAGTTTTATTTTAATGAGTCATACAACTTTTATACTTATGAGAAGTCGACTAGCCGCCGGCTAGTTGTCAGATTGCTAAGTAGTCCCACTTCTGCTATGTTCAAGGAGAAGAGACTAGGATGGTGATGTAGACAGGATAAAGAAAGTTTTGTCTTAACAAAACCAGAGTTTACTCATTTATTAAACATCAGGTGGATGTCCCAGTACTTGCTCACTTAAGCAGATAAAATATCCTAATAGTCAGTCACTTTTTTTTTTTTATGGGCCTTCGCTATATTTTCAATTGGGTAAACACGTTTACTTGTATTGAAAAAGTAATTGCTTAGTGTCTGCATAGCTACCCGATTTATCTATGTTTTGAAAATTAATAGTAAAAAAATCAGCCAGATGACCGACTATTGGGACATGACCGAGTACTGGGAAATCGACCTTATTATATGTACATGGGTCGGGCTGGCCCGAGAGCCATGAGTATAACCCTTAGTAGTGGCGCGAGCGACGGACAGAAGCTATCTGCCCACGTAGCTTGCTAATGCAAGCGAGGCTACACTGAAAGGAATTTTGGTGTAGGATATCTCTAACCTTGGTACTGCCTGAGCTCAATAAATTTCTTACTTCTAAAATTTTAAAATACAACGGAAATCAATCCAAATTTGGTAATAAAACAAGTAAGGAATATTTGAAGTATCTTGTTACCAAATTGGAAGACTCGCCGTACGTGTTTGATAGGTCCGATGTCGACGATACATTGGACGCAGAGAACACGACGCTGAAAGCGTCACACCTCGGAGTTGGTAAGCTGAGCTTTCCAACTTGAGAGAAAAGAACTCGACATTAGTTGAGGTTATTTGAGCCCATTATCGAGCCATAATTCTTCGGCATTGAGTATAAAAAGTATATATAGAAACTAAAATATCCGTGAAAGAGATATAAATAGATGTATATTTGAACTTATTTATACATACAAATTTTAAAGCTCATTCTCTACACACTATACAAAAAAACTCTCAGAAATAAGAAAACTGACTAACAATGTAACATCGAAAAATCTTGATGTATAAGCATTCATGTATGTGTATTTGTATATACACCTGAATATTACTCTATGCATACCATATAAGGAAATCCAATTTTATTTACACGTTTTGGATGTACACGTTCCAAAAAAAAAAAAAACTTTTTGAGGCACACACTTAAACCAACTTTTTTCTCATTCTACATACCTATGGAAATAAGAAAAAAATTGTGTGCAAGCATTCAAGGGCTTCTGACATTGTTTTTCACCCCACTAAAGATTTTAAGCACTAATTTTCTAAAGTGAAAAAGCCGGACTAAACTAAAAAATGTTGGAAACTGATTGAATCGTATCAGGTTTTAAAGAATCTTATTTTTTCGTATTCTGTAGACGTTTGAAAACATTAATTACCCCAAATCTATGCATCACTTTAATACAGAAATTATTTAGGGCCAATTTACCCATCTGAAGCCTCCCCATAAATTGCAGGACCGAAAATTGGTGTGAAAATGTATTATTTCATGTGGGTGTACGTAACAAGGTAACATCAAAAAATCTTGATGTATAAGCATTCATGTATGCGTATTTGTATATACACCTGAATATTACTCTATACATGCCATATAAGAAAATCCAATTTTATTTTGGATTTACACGTTCCAAAAAAAAACAAAAAAAAATTTTTGATGCACACACTTAAACCAACTTTTTTCTTATTCTACATACCCTCAGAAATAAGAAAAAAATTGTATGCAAGCATTCAAGGGCTTGTGACATTGTTTTTCGCCCCACTAAAGATTCTAAACACTGATTTTCTGAAGTGAAAAAGCCGGACTAAACTAAAAAATGTTGGAAACTGATTGAATCATATCAGGTTTTAAGAAATCTTATTTTTCCGTATTCTCTAGACGTTTAAAAACATTAATCACCCCAAACCTATGCATCACTTCAATACATAAACTATTTAGGGCGAATGGCAACACACCGGATAGTACATATTAGAAAACAAAATAAATCAAATGTAAACATGAAAAGTATACAATATAAACTTTAGTATATGACAGAATTTATAAATTAACTTAATTTAATCACAATAAGATACTAATAGTAAAGGCGGAGCGTATTTATCATATAACATAATAGTAAAGCGGTGTGTATTTACAAAATACCATAAGCACTCAGATAACATGTAAGCACTCTAATTAAATAATTACATTCGCAAGATACAAAATGTCATTTCAGATTAATTGGCTCAAGTTTATAGACGCTTATAAAAAAGAACTCTTAAACGCATCCAAATTTTCTGAGAAACAAATACGCGCTGGAATAAGGTCCAACAAACGCATGGCCATCTGGAAAAACGATTGTTCGTAGGAAGTGAGTATCACGCGAGATATTTTAAATAGTGAGGGAACGCGCCTCTCAGAATTTCTCAGCCCCTCACTTACCGCAGGGAAAAGATCATACAGATAACTCGGTCTCTTGGTGTTTAAAGTCTTGAACGTAGTAACACCCAGAAAATAGTTTCGCGAACACTAGGGCGCAACGAATTAAGCCTACCATAGAACGGCTTTAGGGTAGCATCACGTCTAAGGTTAAATATGAATCGAACAACAGTGTTACACAAACAGTCGAGTTTTATGGCCAAAGTTTTATAGCTGGAAAGTCCCGCGAAAATTAAGCATGAATGATAAAAATGTGGTCATACAGCACTTAGGGCACTGCGGAGTTTGGCCGTTCATTTACAATAATTTATACAATGAACAACAATAAACAAATTGAAAACATAAAAAAATACAAATAATAACAACAGTTCCGCATAAAAGTACAAGTTAACTCAATTGAATCAATAATATTTTAAAAGCAAACTGTAAAATGGCTGTAGCATAGTATGACTAAGGTACACGCACGAAACACATATAAACTAACATACGCGCATTATACTAGACACAGCATTCATACAATAGGCGTTTACTCTCTCCCTCTCTCTCTCTCTCTCTCTCTCCTTGAGAATGTCCTTAGAACTGGGTATCCTGGTTATCTAGCGGAACTCTTCACCTTTAAACCCACATCCTCTCGACTCAGGCAGTCCGATGCTCTAGAACTGCAACTGGCTCATACTAAGCTCGACGTTTACAAACACTCGTTTACTATTGGCGCTGCCAGGGAGTGGAACTCCCTTCCTGCTAACTTGCAGATTGACTCCCCGCTTGCTAGATCTAAAAGTCGGCTTTTGCGTGTAATCAAGGAAAAAGATTATATACTGAACTCATAACTGATTAGCTTTCTTTGTTTATTATTATATATTACTTATTTAACTTTTTTGTGTTTATTATACTTTTACATATATGTCTTTCAATACTATTATCTGCGACTATCTTGTATCTTGGACCTGCGTGTCCTCTAAACTCATCTTATGTACTTGATGCTAAGGCTACTATGAACCTTTGGTCCTTAGCCTAATAATCCCACTCTACTCTACTCTACTCTCTTTAACTCTCACTCTCAGCTGTTAACTCCAAAATCAAAATACAACTACAGTCCCAATGGTTGATAACAAGCAAATGTAATACAGCGTAACTACTGGGAATTCACTTTATCTGTCACTGTATAACCGTCGATAAAAACGCTATTAATGCTCACACTTTATAAATTGATACAAGTCCCACTATATGTACCTACAGCTCAAAATCACACAACAAACAAAGTTGTTCCAGGAGATGACAAATCAAATTGGTAAACACACAAGTCCCACCAGATCAAACCACATACACCATAGATCCCAACACCAGGATCCAACATAAAAACGACCAAGCAGAGGCCGGTAGCCATCGTCTTGCAACCTCCCAGAACAACAGAAACCTGGAGCAGACACTAACGGTCACCGAGGTTATGAAAGCACCAAAGGTAAAAAAATTTCGTCCACGGGCACCAGAAAGCCGAAAACACTAAGTCACTAGGTGAATGCTTGCCCTGGACTCCTAAGAATATGTGCCCACTGGAAATAATTCTAACGGAGGTATAAATAAACAATAAAATTGTAAGCAACTTGGAACACCAAAATTTGCGTGTATAAAGCTACGAACTTTGGTACGAGAGATTGATTGTAAACATATTTATTAATGCCAAGGTTGAGATCTCCCGAATGGCAACACACCAAATAATACATATTAGTAACAAAATATAATAAATCAAATATAAGCAGTAACGATGTACAATATAGATTTCAGGATATAACAGAATTGGTAAAATAACTTAACTTAAGTACAATAAGGTGTTAGTAATAAAGGCAGAGAGCGTTTACAATGTAACAAAACAGTAAAGTGGTGTGAGTTTACA